ATAGAAAAAGGCACTTTAAAGACAAAGAGAGTCTATCCACCTTTCAGACAGACCGGTAGCTCTTATTTGGAAATGATGACAATAATAAATATGACTCTGCTCCCATTTCCAGACTAACAGAGCTATCAAACACACAGCCAGTGCAATGGCCGTGCTGGAGCAGTCGAACACCCAGGCTGTGGGTTAACAGCTGGATGATGATGGGTAGCTGGACCCATCACAGGCTATTCTAATCTGAAATGATTAATCTCAAACAAATGAAGTTTTGCTGGTTTCATATCTGTGTAGTTCCACAAATGATATGGTGATATGAGGAGTCCAGAATCAAATAAAAGGGTATCAACTTCCAACCAAAAAATTGGCTTTCAAATTTCTACAGTTGAGACTTCACCACTAAGACAATGTATGTACCTATGATTCCAGAAGCCACTTCTACTACGTGGGGTCAGCTGGATTCAGGTGCAGATAAAAAAATTACACAAACATTATCTATCTATCTATCTATCTATCTATCTATCTATCTATCTATCTATCTAATCTATATATATCTTATTTACATATATTGCTTCAGATATTTTTGGCAGTCTTTCATATTCCCATAAATCTAGCTGCAGTTTGGGTTCCATCTCTAAGTTCTACAGCTTCAAATACTGCGTTTTAATTCTGCTTAATGAATTAGATATGCTTTAGAGCTATAATAAACTTTTCCTGTGAAGATATTTCTGAAGAATTGAGTCACATTGCTTACTGAGAATAAATACTGCAATAATATATTCGCATAAATAATTTAAAATCCAAGAGCACGGTAGGTAATAAAAATATATTGCCATGATAAGCCATGAAACCAGCGAACAACGTTGCTTTAATTAAAAATTACAAATACACTGCGGTAAACAACTTATTTACACGTAGTTGAAAGTCTAACTATTGAATAGCCTGGACTTGTTGAATCTGAAAAAGGGAAAAATACTGAAACGAATCACTTCACACAGACAAATATTGAGGACCGTAACTGTGTTTAATTAAGATCTACTGTTAATAATAGATTTCAGAGAGTGAGGTTCTTCTTTTAATTTCCCAAGGTAGAAAATGTTATTAAATTTGGCCTTTAACTTCTCATTGACATGTACACTTGAAACTTCTGATTAAAATTTCAGAGGTTGTGAAGAAGCACCCAAAATTAAACTCTTAAATCTGGCACAAAAATAACAATGATCCCTGATTAAGAAATCAAATTTCAGAAACTTCATTACTGTTCTATTAATAAATTGTTGGGTTATAATTAAAATGGGGCCTGTTGGATTTCTTTTTTTTTTTTTTTTTTTTTTACTTTCAAATTAAAAAAAAAAAAAAAAATTAGGTTAATGAATCTAAGAAATGTGATCCAATTTGAACAGGTCCCTTTTCTTCCTGGGAGTGACCACAGCAGAACGAACATTATTTTCCACTCGCAGGTATGTGTTCAGGAAAAAACACTGGTTCTGTCTGCTCCTTCCTTTCTACGACATCCACAGTCCGAAGCTCACTATACTCATTGCAGACGTCTCGTAGGAAATCACAGATCTGGGTATTGTTGTGAAATGACAGTGTTAACCTAGTTTTAAACTGGTGTAATGTAGAGTAAGATTAAACTTGATCCCTACATTATTTAGCTGGTGAATACGAGCATGAGGTTCTTGTTTGCAGGATGACGTTTCTACCTCTAGCTTGAGTTTCTTTGAAATGTTAACATCAGTAGATCAGAGAATAGCTGACACCGCGAAAGTTCACTGCTAATCGCGTGCAGACAAATAGCTAGAGCACAAGGTACGTGCTTTTGAGTCTTACAAACACTTGGAGTCATATTTTTTTTTCAGTGTAATACATTTTTGCCAGGTTGTTTGAGCTTTTAAATTAAATTCTTTCTCAGTCTGCAAAAACACTTCAAGCTGAAGAAAGAAAATTGCTACAAAAGTACAGCTGTCTTCAGGAATTTTTACAAAGTAAGGCACGGTTTTCAAAGAGATAAGTAATTTGAATCTGATTCAGATATGCAATGTTCAAAGAATAAATTCAATCTAGATGTGGACAATGGCACAAAAGGTTTCTATACGCTATTCATGGTTCTTGAAATGCACCTATGATGTTACATCTAGTAAAGTAACTAAATTTCCCGATTACAAATAATCAGCAGCCCCTCCTACACATTTTATATAGAAAATTAACTAAAACCATACCTGCAGTTAGATATATCTCAGCTGTTACAGGTTGAAAATAAAAGAAAGTAACATTACTAATTCTCTGTTCTTCTGCATGCATCCATCTGCATATTTTGAACAGGTATAGATATACTTTGTAGGGGGTGATGTCCGCTGTTCACCCAGCACACACAATACAAATTTGGTATCATTGCTGCTTGCAGACACAAAACTTCCTTGTGGTCATCGACTTTTAGTGTAGTATCTTGTTTAAAAGTCTGTATTGTGCCTGCTTGGTCTTTATTTTATGAGTATATTCATCATAAGGACTCTGATGACAGAATTTATAGCTGCGTAGTCTGCGAACCATGCAGTCTGGTATGCATTCTCCATGAAAGTCCTGGACCTAGGGCCCAAACTCTAAGCACACACCTGCCCGTAGGAACTTACGAGAAAACGTTTTGGCCAAACCCAAACTAATGAGTAGCTTTGGCCTTTTTGCATGCAATTTTACGCTATCCTTAATTGCAGATGCTCTTCGCAAATACTACAGTCTTCCTTTTTCACTGCTAGTATCTATGTGTTGCAGTAATATCTGTCAGTATTAAAAGCATCTTTTAAAAATGCTGTTTTACGCTTTCCTGTTATTTTAGCAAAAGGACATACAGGTAGTCACGTTAGCTTTTCCTGAATCATTCCCCCATTTCCCAGATTTTCATTACATTTGCATTAATTTCTAATTTATACAGCCACTTCCTTTGACATAGTTTCCGTATATTACCACGCTTCATTCCCAACCTAATCTAGCTTATTGTTGCTCTTCTTTTCTGCACACACAGCATAAGAAAAGAAAGATCATGCTTTCAGCTAAAAACCTTCTGGGTTTTGGCCATGCAGATTGTGGGAAAACTTCTGGGAGAACTCTATTCAGATCATGAGCTAGTTAGAGTGAAGATTTGAGAGTTCCTTTGCAGGCAGTTGCGAGATGTGGTGAACTGCAGAATGTGTTTATATTACTTATCTGGTTATACACAATACTTAAGGCTCACTCCAAGTTTTCAGTGACTCATTACTTTGTCCTATAATTTCAGTGTCAATGTAGTTAGGAGAAATTCAGCAAAATCTGTAGGTTAAGGGGAAAAAATTCAGATGATAATTTCTGGATTGTTGGTTTTGATAACCAGATCCTTATGTTTTCTTGTCTTTTCTCTTTCAGTCTCACAAAATCAACTGCTACATTAATTAAAATTATTTGTCTTATTTCCAATGAAAATACATAAAGTTATGGAGAACTTCAACAATTAAGTTCCTCAATATGAGTCCCAATCCCAAAGGGAGTAAATACCTTTTCCCTACACAAGCCAGGTTCTGAGTAACGCTGCTGAGGGTCATACTGCTGTATCTGACAAGCAATAGACATTCCCTAGTTCTTCCATCCATAGACACAGATTTGTGTGACCACAGTAAATGAAATGAGGACTCTTTAGAGCAAAAACTAAAATTAAGCATGAAAATGCATTCTGTAAATAAGTTTAGAAAACAAGGTAATGACATGTGCTAAGAATCGTTCTTCAGATAAATTAATATTTCAATGGCAGAACTCAAAGGTGTATCTGATGGAGAAAAACCGAAATATTTGTACTCTATCAACTACGTGGTTTTGAGGTGATGCAGAGAATTGAAACTTTTAGTTATCTGCCTTGCCTTTTCCTTCCTTCCTTGGAGATGAGCACATTCACCTGCTTAAATTCACCTTCTCATCATTTGAATCCAAGGCCGGCAGTGCGGTTCCTTGCAATGGCATCCTCCCGACATTTGTTACTGACAGAAAACATCTTCAAGATCAGCAGCTTTCTTTTTTTGTAGAACAGTACATATGTCAAACCTTCTTTAAGAAGTGCACAATCACTGCTAAATAACCCTGAGATAGCAGAGAAATCTATGTTTATGGTACAGATTGAGAGTGCACACTGTTCAGGTAAAGCTTTGAAGCCGTTCTCACAAAGATATTTATGCCCTTTTATGTACACTGATAACTAGGGGAAATTAGACTTGCAAGTAAGAACAGAAAATTAAATACAGATGTAGAATTCTGCAATTCTTAAGTGCTGAGACAAGCTGCCTGGAAAGTCAATTTAGTATTAGAAAAGGAAACATTTGGATCTTTCAACAAATCTAAAAACAAAAGATCCAGGTGGATCAAAATATAAGATGATGGCACCACTTAACACCAATGTTTGTTCCTTGTGACATGGCACACGTGTGTGGGATTGTATAATCATAGCACAGAAATAATAATTTACTTTCAACTATCTGGGCAAGGCCAAGTCTTAGCTTACTGTAGCTACAGTGTTTCCCTGGGAAACTACTTTTTTCAGCCCTTCAACATGGGTGTAGGGTCATTATTTCACTGAGGGACATTATAATAAATGATCATAAACAAACTTAAACCATATGTAGAACAGATAAATTTCTATACACATTTTAAATTTTTACACGTTTTCTCTGCCTCATTAAGGAAACAAGCAGGTTAAAAATAATTTTGAAACACTATGCAAAGCCATGTCTATTGCTCATAGCAGTCAATTGTTCTACTGCAGTAATCTCATAGCCTGGAAAACTACTGTCCCCTCTCTAATGCAGTTTTTTGTTTTCATCATACTGAATCTCTTCACTGCAGGAAAAAAAAAAAAAAAAATTGCCACTTCTTATTAGGTAGAGCCCAAAGAACTTTAATTTAATTCTGTACTGGCAGGCAAACTCTCAGGCACAAAAGACAGGCTCACTTTCTGACGGATGACAATTAGAAGGTACTGCACTCACCTGATAGTCTGATGTTGCAAAGTATCCGGATCCGTGGCATTTACTGTCAGCACAACACTGCCAATAGGGATGTTTTCTTCTTTTGTCACCGTCATTGGGTTTGGGTGGAAAACTGGGCCTTCATTCACATCCTCAACAGTGATCTGAACTGTTGCCGTGGAACTGGGACCATAGGCTATGTCTGGAATCAGCGGGTCTTCGTTTTCTACTTTGATCAGCAGCGTGTGAAACGCCGAAATCTCGTAGTCTAAAGGCTGTAAAACATGTCATAAAGTCAGAGTGCAAGGTGCAAAGACAGTACTTAACACCTTTTTCCTTGTACCCCACTGCAAACTTGCAGAAGACAGAACTAGCCAGAAAGGGACAATAGCATTCATTGCATCTGCCACTGGGTCAGAGCTGAGCATTAGACACAGTGGTAGTTATAAACTGCGTTAAAGATAATGAACCTAATGGACTTAATGAAAGATGGAGATGTCCCTCTATCCAAGAGCGTGTATTCTTTTGCCATACCTCATACATATAATTTTATTCTCATATATACATGGTTATTTGTGAGGTAATATGCATTTAGCAAACAAATCAGTCATACTTAGTAGCTACTTAGCATAAGTAACATAAGGCTATTTTCTCAGTTTATACCTTGAAATCAAAAGTGCCACTAGGAAAATATAGACCGTTTGTCTTAAGAATTGAAAATGCCTCTTCAGAAGTCAGAGAAGATTATGGTACAGGCAGCAATCAGGGCTATCTTCTCTTTTTTAAAGTGTGAGATATAGGATTATCTTCATGTGAAGACAGGCAATAAATTTTTTCATAAGACTTTAGAAATGCAGGACCAAAGATGGCTCTTCAGTTCAGTCTGAAGCCACGTCCCTTGCTTCCCTGGTATTTTCATCTGTGTTCTCTAACCATGAACAAAATGTGACTCTTGAATTCTAATTGTACCCGCAGTCACAAACAAAACTTTGTTATAAAAGTCTCACTATTAATTGTGATGCTTACTGCACAACTAGTTGTTATTTAAGTACAACAGTATTATAGTTAGCAGCAGGTTCTGTGGCTAAAGAAGTAAGGTTACTGCGACAGAAGAAGGGGTTGTACATTTTGTTTGGACAAGGACCGGTAGCCGATTCTATTTTTGAGTAACTTCTTATGCAATAAATCCACTGGGTGGACCTTAGAGTAAACGATACAATACAACAGCAAGTTGTTCTTACTTTGACAACAGAGAGCATTCCCTCATTAGTCTGGGGATTGGTGTGGATTTCAAAACTCTGCCCTGGATTTCCATTAATGATGGTGTAGACAGCTCTCCATGCTCCGGTTGCTGGGTCATCTCGGTCACCAACGGTTAAGTTTACTATTACACCCGTGACTCCCTCCTTTACTGTGGCTTGAAACTAGGAAAAAAAAAACCCAAAAAAACATAAGAGGAAACTGTTACTATTTTCAGTTAATGACCACACACACATATGAATTATCCAAGTCAGCATTAATTATTTACCACAACAGGAGAAAGATGTAATCCTTGACTGAAACTGAATGTTATAGGCTCTAAATAATACATTTTCACTCATGAAATATAAGGTAGTGCATTACAGCTGCTCTCCATTTAATAGACGGCAGACAAGCAGCAGTGTGATAGGAATCGAGCTTCGGAAGATTCTGATCACAAGACGACGGTTCCTCTTGTATAAGTGGAAAAGTGAATCCTGAAAATACATACAGTGCTGCATGGGTGTACATGCTATCGGAACCAGAACTATACTCCTAGCTACGCAGAAGAGGAAGTGGACTAATACAGCCCATTTTTGCCCTGAAATGTACATATTCAAAATAATCCAATCTTGCATTTCAGACGAGGAAATTACCCCACCCATATTGATTTTTCACTATACTGTTATCAATACATAAACCATTTTTCACAAAAAAGCGCTCCCATACCATTTTTCGGAGGGGTTGCTCTAAAAGACTCAAAAATAATTGATCCTCACGCTACCACTTTGTCTACATAACTAAAAGTCGGTGCTACTTTCCTTTTTTCAGTGGACGAATTTTTTATGACCTTGTGAAGTTTGTTGCACCGCTGTACTATTCAGCAAGCCAAGCCTTATGAGAAAATTCTAATTTACTATCCAGACAAACAGTGTATAACATCATTCTTATTTATGTAGGAAAAACATTAAGCAAGCTGATGGAAAAGCTTGTAAGGGTCAGACTTAATAATACTCCTCACCTTTCAAGTACTTGAAGCTGACGTGCTAAAAGCACTGTATGTAAGAGTGATAAGATAATACCTGCTTTATAGGTGGATAAACTAGAATGATAACATATCTAATCCTGAGAAGTGCTGAACATCAGCAGTAGCATTATAGATCATTAGGAAATCTTAACTTTTCTAGGGATTAAGCCTTTAAAAGTCCAAAATTACAAATTTTAATGACACAAATAGGCTTTGCTGTACGTGCACTGCTTAAAAGCTACATCGTCAGTGACAATATATCACTCAAGGGCAAAAATCACCCAAGTGGCTTCGAGACCTGAATAGACTAAATACCTTTTGCTCTGTCTTACAGACCACATGAAGTCATAACACTGCAGAAGATTTTGTGAGAATACTGAGTCCAGAAAATGGCACTTTATTAATATATAGATTTCACAGTCTGGATAAATACTAGGTAAAATGGATTTCCTCATAATAAAATACAGAGGAGAGGATTTTGCCTTCTGTGTTATCTTTTTAAAAATTTCTTCCAATACATTTGACTTATGTTTCCAAAGCCTTTTTCAATTTAGCTGTATAATTTGAGTGCATGCATTCTGTCCAAGCTTTCCAGCCTCAAACCTGATTTTGTAAAAGGATGACATTAATGATTGGCTATTTCTATCTTCTTTGGTATATTTAACAAAGGATTTAAAGATTATTTTTATTTTGATAGTTAATATGTATCAGGTTGTGATTGAGCTTTGTTTCAGACAGATCATTAAGCTCATTTGCAGTTTAATTAACTCTAAATGATAATATAACAATATTTTCACTTGCTTTGAAACAAATCAAAAGAAAAGCTCTACTAAGAATCTCAGAAATAACAGAGGAACGATTACCAAGATTGTATTTCTTCCTGCTCAGCAAAGTGCTGTCACTGGAAAGCACACTTGGATACCTCTTATTCTAATTGAAAATTAAGTGATTAGCCTGATTGATATTTTTGTATTATTTCATATTGTCTCAGCTTGAGCATGTATAAAATGAGACATCAGAACCATAAGGGCCAGAATTTTTCCGAACGATTGTTCAGTACCAAACAATTCCTATTTTGCTATGTAAAGAGGTGATTAGACTTCAGGGAACATAATCTTAAAGCATCTAACCCTTAGATTTGACTGGGAATCGGGTCCTAATTCATATTGATCTGTCTGAAGAATCTTTTCCTTAATCCACTAGACTGATTCAATTAATTGTTCAATACTCCCTGGATCACCTTGGGAACAGTGAGACCTGTTAGGGTAAAATATTTAAATATCTGGCTTTTTTATCCAGATACATAACTGCAAAACCAGTGAGATAAATTTATTATGCTTACCCCACCAGTGCCAGGCTATGATGGAAAAGGTTGCCTTGATGTGCCAGCTAGTTCAAAAAATATTGAATGTCAGTTTAAAGATATCTAATTCAAGGATATCTCAGCTGGGGCTGGCTTTCTTCTGCATTCCTGTTTTCTCCTTATTTAGGAAGGGCTCTCAGTACCTTCAGCTGAAGTGAGTTGTTAGTGAAGAAAGGGCACACAGACTTGCTGGGGGCATAAACCTGCAGCTTCTGACACCTGCAGGTCAAGGAAATGACAACGTCTACAAGCAAAGGCTGTGCCAAGCCAAATAATTTCAAGTGTAGTGATACACTTACCCCTAGCATTCTTTGCAGTTTAGAAATGACCACATAGGCACAGAGGGTATTTGAAGCTGTCTGGAACATTAAGAGTAAAATCCGTTCAAGATGGATGAAAAAGCCGAATGATCAAATCACAGAAGTTGTCACATGGGTCTACTCTAAATTTATAATGTGAAAAGCGTAATAAATCACAGATATGTGATTGCAGAAGACAAATATCTACTGCGAAATAGAGAGGTCCAGAAAAATATAGTGTGTATTATCTAGAAGGTGAACTCTTTTGCCTGTTCAGCCACCTTCATATAAAGAATAGATTTCCTAGTGTTTAGAAAAATCTGTTACATGAACACTAGATCCTTTTAAAAAACAAAAGAAAATTTTAAAACTATGAAAGGACAAAAATAGGAATTAGATTTGGAAATAGAGAAAAAAATAACCACAGGTTCATCATATTTCAAAATGAAAGGTTTACATTCTCAAAGCATGGTGCTTAACCGGGAGAATCTGATCCAGCGCTCTACAATAAAACCCCATAGTGACTAACACTAATAACTGGATCACAAGTTAATTGATTTCACTCTTTTTAAATATCTGCACATCCCCTAAGCACCACTATAAATTAAGAATAAAATAGATGAGTTCAGTACTTTATTTAAAACTGTTATCTTCTGGACCCATATTAAAAATAATAACGTGGAAGGCAAATACCTTGGGCCAGAGCTGCACTTGGCTGGAAGGATCTATGTTTGTTTACTGCTGAGCATTTGAACATGTAAGGTTGACTTGCTCTGTGGAGGGATATGTCATTTTGTCATTTATTGTGCTTATCGTGCATACAGCTTACCAATTTTAGTAATTCTGTCATATTTAGAGTTTCATAAACATAGGGAAAAAAAAGGACCCGATTCCCCTTTTTCTGCAGTCAAAAGCCTATGAGAAAATGCAGAAAGACAGACAACAGACTGATAGCAACTTAGAAACAATGAGTGAACAGCAGTCAGCAGGCTACACTTAATCATCAGGTTTTGGTAGACAAATGAGACTATTAACAAATAACTGAGAGACATCAAGGAAATATAATGATTGATATTGATGAAGAGCTCCTCCAAGAGTGTGAGGGTAGCGTGTGAGGAAGCACAAATAGACCTGAAATGTAATGAGTGAGCAATGTTTGCTGTCTTGATGGACTGATGGGAAGTAGATATCGACCATTGGACGTTCTTGTGAGATATCACAAAGATGGTTCCACTGGGCATGGAGGTTCCTGAGTGTAAAAACAGGCAGCTTGTATTTCTTACAACAAAGGAGTCAGTAAAGGGATAGCAAGGAGATGAGTAACATTCAAAACAACTGTGTTAGAATACAGCCTACGTAACAGCACCCAGGGTAGCTCTGAGCAGAAGAGATAATCTCAGTTCAGCAGACAAACTCTATTTCTCCTTTCCCTGGATCTTGCAAGCCTGCTCCAAACTATGTGCAAAGCTTGAGAAGATAAAATGAAAAATTATGGTTCCAAGCTGGTGGGAATTTTATCTTACCGAGTAGAGGAAATTCACGATGGCAGCTATCTACTGAGAATAATTAGGCCTGCATCAAAGGCTAGCTAAAGGGAGAAGTCAAGTGGGGAAACAAACAAATTGAACCACAGCTTAATTTTAGTAGCTGTTGCCTGGCAGAGCCAGGATATAATATAACACTGAGCCAAATCCTCCTCCACGCTGAGTCCTATGGCGAACTGGTGGGACACTACGGCGACAGCTCCTCTCGCTGAACAGCAAAACAGCTCGGTATGGGCTACAGGAAAAAACAATCTTGTCAGAGTTCCACCACAGGGCGGATACATGAAAAGATCACTTTGTCAAATATTATCACCCAGGATTCCAGGCACTAACCCCATCTCAGACTGAAACGAAACTGGAAATGGTACCTAACCTGTATGAAAATTGGATGCTTATCTGAGAGCCTTCTTTAAAGCTTCTGCAGGAAGTGAGATCTTATTTAGCGGCTTCTCAGAGCACAGAGGAACAGATGAACTTAACTGCATCAGAATCACCTGAATATCTGCTGTCCAGCAACAGCATGAGCATGCAGCAATAACCTTCGTACCTTTATGAAGCCACCAAAACACTCTCAGAGTGGGGTCCTGAAATACCCAAATTAAAAAGCTGCCACAAGCAACAAACGCAGTGCAAGGTAAACGTGTCTGGGGTTGGTGATTGCTACCCCATGGCTCATTAAGATTCTGCATGCTGTAATTCCCAGTCAAGAACAAACAAATTAAAACTGCATGTCAGTTCGCATTTATCAGGCGATATTCCAGTTGAAGGTATTCTGTGCTACTGTCATATGGTTTGTTTCCTCATCTATATATCGTAAAAGATGAAAAATAATGGCATATAGTAATTCACACGTCTCTATTAGAAATTCTCCAGGGAAATGGTATTATTGTATTTGTCCTCCACTGAAGTCCACTGCTTTTGCAACCATATTTTGTTTATCTGCTTTCTTGAA